TAAACGTAAAGGCTCACTACCAGTAAAGGCATGGCTTTGAAGATGAATGGTCCATTAAACAATTGGTTTTCTGACTTTTTCCCTCATATATATGGGGCTTTAGACAGAGCTGCTGTCTTCTAAAATTTTAGCGTATTCTTCATATAGCAAATACTACAGTAAGATATATTTTAACAATTCATATATAAACAACAAACTGTAGTTGCTTAATATTTTTATCGGTTTCCCGTACATATTATGTGAATATGATAATAATTAATAAATTACCGATACTATAGGTAATTTATTAATATATTTACTTAATTACTGAGAAGGTCAGCCACAACAGTTCGTACGACATTAGACGTAATTGGCAACCCTAGTCCCGGGGGCATAATTTATTTGCCTTCTAATTTCCTTCTAACAATCTGTGACCGGTTTAATAATAAATTTATTAAAGGATCCTTTATGAAATAACAGAGAGGCACTTTTCCAAGAGCCTCAATTCTGCGGCGGCACAGCATTTGTCAATAAGTTTTGGTAACGGCGTGCTCGGGTTGCGAATTAGGAGATTAACCGCACTAAAGATCAATATAGTAAGTTAAACCGGAATTAATATATAACCGCTCATCGATTATTCATCCTGTGAACTCCAGCGACACACCTATATCACTTAAATATATATTCAAAATCTGTATTGTATAGCATTAAAATAAATTATGTACGTTCGAACCAATCGATTCCTGACCCATTCTTCTCAACAGACAACTTTTACTTTGTAGAGAATACGTAATTGCTCTTAGGACCATTTAACAAAGAAACTGTGTTAATATGGAATGAAATCTGATCTTTATTTTCAATGCAATAGATTATGTTATTGATGAAATTGGAATAGTAGTTTGTACTTCGAAATCATTTTTTAAATTGTTAATGTAAGTGAAACTCTTTAGATTTACTGACAATTTAAAAAAACATTGGTAGAGTCTGTGCGGATAGAGAATGGGATTTAGATTGGAGGACGCTGTAGTGTTTTTCTACCGTATTTGTAAGGTTTTACCTCTTTTAGACATGATTAAATACAAAAAACTGCAAGGAATCACAACAACAAACAAATCCGTATCAATACAAAACTTTGACGTTTTACAGATTGCTGGGTTTGATTGCCAAATAAAAATCTTAATGTTAGTTCCGTTTTTCGCCACGCCCATTCTCTTTCCGCATAGACTCTAAATTTATAGGGAAATCCAGTCCATGTGCAAAACTCCAAATAATTTAATGCCAAAATTATGTCACACGAAAGCGGCAAAATCTATTGCATCAAATATGATTGTTCAAACAACAACAAGTTTGTTTCCAGGGATATTTACATTTTAAAATGGTTGTAACGAATAAAAGCTTATTTCGCTAGCGGTTAGCGTTGGTCAGCAATCAAATTGGTTTATTATACTCACAATCATTTTATTATATTTTTCTGCAATTGACCGCTCGATTTTTATGGGTAAAGAGAATTTCCTTAACACATATTATATCTTCCTTTTACAATCCCCATCCTAATTCCATAATAAAAAATATATATTACGCTACGCTCAATTACCTATGAACGATCATAAAAAGTGCGCGCTCACAAAATGTAAGGCAAAATAACCAAAAGCTTACAAACAGGTCGCCTGAGGCGGAAGAAGTATCCGGCGAAAGGTTTTCGTAATTTTTTTGTTAATGTATCTTTTTATCACTTTTTATAGGGTACTAACCTACGGAGATTTTATATTAATAAGAGGAAAATCTTAAAAGTTCTCGTTTTCAGATACTTAGAGCGTATTAACAATGTAAAACCTAGCCCGATGTAGTGCTATTTTAATCATAAGCTAAAAACGAAGTTTAAAATTTTTATTAAACAAAGACAAACATTTTATATATCAGCTTTGTTAAAAGTTAAAGTTCTATAATAATACGACTGATATTTTAACTAAATGGGCAACCTTTTTTGTTGAGCAAACCTGCGAACCTCATTTGAGGTCGTATACATCTCAATTAACAACAAGACGAAGAAAAAATATAACGATCGTCTTTGGTTGAGCTTTTTCAACGACCGACGCACAAGTTTTATTTCGTTATTCTCAACAGCAAGATTCTCGTATTTTCCCCCGAAAGTATCTCAGACCACTTCGAATTTCTTTGATATTCAGTGTGAGTGAATTCGAGTTCGCGTATTGGTGGTGCAAATATTCCGGTAAGTGCTTGATTTTTCCCCACATTCTCTAATCCGTAGTTGTTTGTTTCATTTTATGGTGTTAAATAAACATAGATTTGGAATACACAACATCGGAAGAAAGTATTATTTGACTGCAATTTGATATCTTCTCCAGGCAGATATTATTTCTAACGTTTCAAACTTTATAATAACACTAGTTTTTCTGTTTAACGAAGGTAAGTTGTCTCATACCTCAGTCCTTTAAAAACGGAAAGGCCCTTAAAAATTACATTACCTAATACAAAGTCAGATTACAATCTAACACAAAGCATTTTAAAAATGTAAAAAGGGACAACCTTTTTGAACTTAATTTTTTTTAATCTCGGGACCATAATTTATGGGGATGTATAAAAATAAATCATGTCACCAACTCCCCTTTGTGCTTTTAGATGGCGTTTTTTATAGTTATTAGAACGCGCTGCGTTTTAATGGAAACGTTATGAAGTGGACAAATTATTACACAAGCTTTTATATAAGGGAATCAGCATACAGTACGATAATGATTATATCATCAGTTTTATATGTCTTCATAAATATAGCTAAGCAAAAAAATGCTTAAATTTTTTAGTCAAATACTGTCTTAATACGCCTTCGAAAAAAAATCATAATCAAAACATACAAATCAAATCTATCTATCTTAATGACAGTTCTGTGTTTTCAAATGTTAACTAAGTCACTTGTCCGGAAAACCATAGATTGAAAATGATTGAGTCCAAAATTTACTGAATACACAGCAGCTTCGTAAGAAGACCGTGGTCAATCAGATCTGGTAGAATTCTGATTCAGCTAGTCTTACTAATAATGGAGTGAATATGCACTCTGTAAGTACTTATGCATGTCTAAGTCCGAAAAGGTATTGTTTACTTTCAAACTGATAACTGAATTACTATTCTCCCAATACAATGATATATTAAAAACATTCTTTCTTTAGACTTTGACTTTTTCAATAATGGAGTGAATAAGCACTTCTTAAGTAGGTAAGCTTGCTGCTCGTCTTAGAACTAGTTGTAACTGTTAACTTCCAAACTGGTAGCTAAATTGGGTACTATTGTCCCAATAAAATAATATATTAAAACCATTCTTTGTTTCTTTAGCCTTTGACTTTCTTAATAGCTGAATAAGCATTGTATTATGCTTATTCAGTCCCCACTTGAAATATATAAATATGTACTGTATGTATGTAATGTATATGTGTATGTATGAGTCTATTTATGTGTATGTGTTGTGATTGGGTACTGAATGTACACATATATATTCCCCTGCGAACAGGTATTTTTGTTTTTTCTGGTATTGTTTTACTATGTCAGTAATCGTCAGCATCTCATATTTTCTTTTGTAATCTCGTCTGTTCGTTTTTAAACCTTATTGTAATATGTGGATAGTCGCAATTGGCTTTTAAATTAAACATCATTGATTGTAATTCGAATATATAGATAGGCTGTGTACTTTCCGGTAAATAAATAAATAAATAAATGGAGTGAATAACCACTTCTTAAGTAGGTACGCAAGCTCGTCATAGAACGAGTAGGTATTGTTTACTTCTAAACTGGTAACTGAATTGCTATTCTCCCAATACAATAATATATTAAAAACATTCTTTCTTTAGACTTTGATTTTCCCAATAATGGAATGAATAAGCACTTCCTTAGTAGGTACGCAAGCTCGTCATAGAACGAGTAGGTATTGTTTACTTCTAAACTGGTAACTGAATTGCTATTCTCCCAATACAATAATATATTAAAAACATTCTTTCTTTAGACTTTGATTTTCCCAATAATGGAATGAATAAGCACTTCCTTAGTAGGTACGCAAGCTCGTCATAGAACGAGTAGGTATTGTTTACTTCTAAACTGGTAACTGAATTGCTATTCTCCCAATACAATAATATATTAAAAACATTCTTTCTTTAGACTTTGACTTTCCCAATAATGGAATGAATAAACACTTCCTTAGGGGGTATGCAAGCTCGTCATAGAACTAGTAGGTATTGTTTACTACCAAACTGGTAGCTGAATTGCTATTCTCCCAATACAATAATATATTAAAAACATTCTTTCTTTAGACTTTGATTTTCCCAATAATGGAATGAATAAGCACTTCCTTAGTAGGTACGCAAGCTCGTCATAGAACGAGTAGGTATTGTTTACTTCTAAACTGGTAACTGAATTGCTATTCTCCCAATACAATAATATATTAAAAACATTCTTTCTTTAGACTTTGACTTTCCCAATAATGGAATGAATAAACACTTCCTTAGTAGGTACGCAAGCTCGTCATAGAACGAGTAGGTATTGTTTACTTCTAAACTGGTAACTGAATTGCTATTCTCCCAATACAATAATATATTAAAAACATTCTTTCTTTAGACTTTGACTTTCCCAATAATGGAATGAATAAACACTTCCTTAGTAGGTACGCAAGCTCGTCATAGAACGAATATGTATTGTTTACTTCCAAACTGGTAGCTGAATTGCTAATATCCCAATACAATATTAAAAACGTTCTATCTTTAGACTTTGACTTTCCCAATAATGGAATGAATAAGCACTTCCTTAGTAGGTACGCAAGCTCGTCATAGAACGAGTAGGTATTATTTACTTCCAAACTGGTAGCTGAATTCCTACTCTCCCAATATAAAAATACATCAAAACCATTCTTTCATAAAGCTTATCAAGCTTCTTATCAAGATTCTGCTCAGTTATTTTTTTTTTCATTTCAGCCCCAATCAGCATTCCTACCTGGTTACCTTTTTAATCCGTTCACATCTCACCTATTGTACATGAGCACGTCTGGTTTCCAAAGCTTGTTCGGTGTTATCCTGAGGTCCTTCACTCCACCATACTCGCTATCGTTCCATCTGAGGTTGTAGTCGTTCCATTCCTGTCACACACAAGTGATTAGTCAAGGAGGGAAAATTTGTCATATTTAACAAATGCTAAGCTACGCATTAAGGTCGTTCTCAACAGTAATAAAATGACATTCTATACTTGCATTGTGCTACAGATCTGTACCCCTAGCACGAACCAATATCAAATTCGAATAGTTTGCGAATGCGAAATGTCTATGCCAAATTTTGTATGGAAATTTGAACAGCAACACCACAAAGTACGTAACGAGAACTAAAACTCAGTACGCATGTGACAATGACATTTCGGACTCGCAAACTATTCGAATTCGATATTGGTTCGTGCTAGGGGTTCGTACTGCTATGTGAGGGACAAACTCATAGTCTTTACAGAATAAACGAATTGAAAGTGTGTTGTTATGATTGCATCTTGTGTAAGTATATTGTCATACGTGCCTTTCAAAAATGACATTAAATAACTTTTTTTAAATGCATACCTAACAGTTTTGCTTAAAATAAAGTTACGTTGTTAACGTATGCCAGTAAAAGTATGTTATGTAGATTTTCTATTTTCCGTTAAATGTTTCACAATATAAATGTAACAGTTTCATTTGTCGCTGTCGCATCTACTTTATGGTAATACGGTACTAAATGTAATATCCTTTGTCATAATTCCATGTGGCCCTAATAACACTTTAGGGTTAATGAGACTCGTGAATTAAGTAAAGATGGGACGAGGGAGACACCCGTTCCAACGTTATACGATATATCACCATGAAATGATAATGTAATTTAAACACTTTGAGATAGTAAAAAAAGATATCTCGGTTAAAGTATTCAACGTGTCAAATAAATCAGTGAGTTTTTTGTGAAATCAAATTCTCCTTAATTTTTAACAATTTTTCATGTTGAGAACGACCTTTAACATTTTGAATAGAGAAGAGAAGATTATACAAGTTAATGAATGAAAGCATCTTGTAAAATCGACAACTCTGTTGACAATGCAATTATACATTCGCACATTTACAAAGATATTCTGAACCTTAATCGTGTAATGATAAAGTTCACAATACCACTGAATCCCACACTGGCTATGTGTGTAAAGTAAATAGGGTTTAGATAACAGAAACAAAGACAAGTTTCCAAGTTTGGACCCTCCCCTTATATTAGAGAAGTTGTGAAACTAAAGACTAATATCTCGTGTTTGTGAACATGTAAGACTTTGAACATACTGTATTGTTAAGGAAAAACCGTGCAAAAAAGTTAAGATTAAACATTAGCTGTGCGTGCTAATTAGTAATTTACTACGTGTGACATTGTCGACACTGTGCAAATTGTCGACCTCCGTGGCCGAGTGGTTTGTACGCCGGGTTTCATGGTGTCGCCGACTCGAGATGCAGATGTTTGTGTGATGAATAAGAGCATTTGTACTCCAGTCATGGATGTTTAATATGTATTTCTATATAAATATACTTATATATGTATTATATTCGTTACCCTAGCATCCCATAACACAAGCCTTACAGTGCTTACTTTGGGGCTAGGCTAATTGGTGTGAGTGTCGGAAATATTTATATTTATTTCTTTATTTAATTAATTGTATAATTTGATACAATCTAATCTGAATTTCAGTTTCATGTAAAATTCAGCTTTCCATATTAGGTAAGTAAGTTGTTTGTTTCTTAGGTTTTCACGCACACCACCCATTAAATGAAATAAATTTCAACGGTATAGACTCACTGATTTTGTATATTCATTGACGTTTCGCATTCTTTAGCGCCGCTGCACAGGGGCCATACGCCACAGCCACAAACGCCGCCATGAAAAGCTAGAAGCTGCTACTAAAGTGGCTGAAGCGGACGACAGAGGCCGACTAAGGCAAGGGGTGGGGAATCGCGCGAGTGACGTGTGGCAGCGTTTTGTATCGGCGCATTAAGTGGCCGGTGCGGGCCACAAGAAGAGAGCAACGACGATTTGTAGCGTGTGGCGGCGTACCGTGTGTGGTGAGTCCATATAAAATGTATAAAAAGTACAAGAAATATGCCGGTGGCGGCGTTTTGTGGTTGTGGTCGGTGGCCCGTGTGCGGCGACACTTACAGGCTGCGTCGTCTGAATAATTTTATTTACTTTGTCGAAAATCATTATTCTGACGATGCAGCCTGGAAGTGATGCAAAACGTCATAAATAAATAAATCAGTGCATTCATACCGTTAAAACTTGTTTTATGTAAGTAGTTTTTAATATTACTGAAAAATTTCGAAAAAATCCTCAGTTGAAACCGAGTAGGTAAGCCATAAATAGAAAATTGAGTTATTTTTTCCACAATTAACAATAAAGTACCGTCTCATAATGGATCCATTATTTATCCGTGAACAGATTTATCTTTTCATACAACGTAGAATGTTCAATCAGTATGCACCAAGCCTTACAATGTAAATGTGAGCCAGTGTGACATGTAGAGCGAGAGAAACAGTTATATAATTTAGTAGTCCATCACTTTCCTTCCTGAAGGATTGTTTGTCAAATGTCGTACTTGAGGAACAAAAGCCTGAAACACGCAAGCACAATGTGAACGAGAATCTACAAATGTGTGCTAACGAGAGGATTGTTGAATGGCACGAGATGCCGGCCGACTGTTATTTATTCAACAGAGTAAAGATATAGGGATAAGAATGGCATATGGAACGTAGGGATCGGGGTATTATTGGCAATAACCCCTTTTTTACAAGATACGAAAACAATTTATAAGGTAATATTTTATTAAAATATTCCAGGGTCTTCTTTTACTAGTCTTATTTTAAATGTAACACATCCATTAATCGTATGGACACTTATAAGTTTACATTTTAGAAAATTTGTTAAGAATGTTAACTAATTATATTTTATCATCAGTGGAATTAATGAAAATACCAAATGATTGATTAATGAAGTGAAAGACTTTGGTTGATCATTCGTCGGTATTTCAAACCTTTAGCTTTTGATTAGCAACAGGTAATTATAGGTTAACTATACCACAACCATAGTTTCTTAGTAAGGGTAAATAAAAAGAAGATCTTCGGTCCATAACATTCTTTATCAAAGTTGTAGCACACACCACAGAAGAATCCTTCAGAAAAGAATAGATTAAAACCTGAAAACTTGTTCTCCAGAAAAGTTTCAGTAAGTATTAATTATGACAAAAAACATTCCATCAAAAACAAACTGGGACTCGAACCCAAATTTCTTTAGCAGTTTTTGATTGTAAAATTTTGATATTTCAAATAAACATGAAGGCTTTATAGAAGCTGTATTATAAATTCATTTTTTATAAACCCCTTATAGTTTCGTCATGGCCGTCTGCCCGTCCCCAGTTATTAAAATTCACGGATAGGTCTTTAGCTAGCAAAATAAAAAAAAGTTTATGTGAAAAATACTAAAGTATTAATCATACTTATTTGGTATTCACATATTCAGAAAGAGGATGAAAGGCATATTAACATTTAAAGTAGATTTCTTTCTTATACATTAAAAACGACATATTAAGACTAATGTGTTAATGTTATTATACTATCTCATAATTGCTATCGTAATTTAATTATCCAGTTTTTTTCTAAGTTAACTGCGCCTTGACTTTTTATCATTTTATACATTATAAAACCTTCATATTTATGGGTAAAAACAATTCAGTAATGACATATCAAAGTTATGTAAGTAAGAATTGTATTCTATCACAAGACAACAATAGAAAAGTATACGACTATTTTGTGACAGTCAAAAAACTATAACACAAACACAACAAAAAGGTATACGTACGTCAAACAGTCACAGAGTACATAGCTAGGACAGATAAAATAGACAAAGTGAAGCATATGAAAATAGTAGGAATGATAAATAAACTAGATTATTATTAAGCAAATATAAATGAACATGCAATGGAGACGATTTCAGGTTTTTCGCTTAATCTTCGAAATGGAATTTCACTGAATAGCTTGTAGCAGTCATTCAGAAAAAACTTGATGCAGAAATATTTTTAACTTAGATTGCCCTGAAAAGGTCCTTTAGACAGACATGCACAACATATATCACAGTAATGAACAATTAATATTATAAATAAACATGTATCGAATAATTTACAAATGTTTTAAAGATGGATGATATCTCAGCAGAAGCTTTTTCATCACTGGCAGGGGGGAGGGGGGGATTCATAAATAATATCAGTCCTTTGCAAAATGGCATTCTTTTTTTTTTCAATAACAAGACCAGGAAATCTCGGGGTACTACCATTTCCGTAACTAAGCTGCCGTATTGGTAAATGCTAAAATAATTATTATTTTAATTTGCTTAACAAACATACCTTTAGTGCTGGAAACAAAATCTTTTTGTTAATTCATTCGACCATTCAGGGGATTTCAAATCAAGACAAAACATACCTAATTTATTTATAGCCATCAAGAAAAGTATGTGCATTAAGCCTATTTTGGTTTAATTCTCCATTTAATAAAAACAAAACGAAAACAAAATAAAATCTACAATGAATACTTTGAAACATAAAATCAAATTAATCATTAATTTTTTTATGATGATTTTTACTACATGGATGGATGAAATAAAACCCTTTGCAAGATCTGCTAACATCAGAATAAATGTTTTGTTATATTTCATAACCTACGGTTCACCACAAAAGAAAATTTTCTCAAACAATGGGGTAAAATAATGTAAAAAAGAACACTTTTTTTACAATTCCTTTTTTTTAATGGAGATTTCGTCTCAATGTGGTTTCAATTCCGCAGGCAAACTAAGCATAACATGGCGGCCGGGCCCACCCTACAACCTTCCCAGAAGTAATTTCACATTCCGTGGCCATGCAGAGTCAAAAAATTCTACATTCCTTTCGTAGCCAAACAAAACAAAATGTACAGCGGATTCCCAGAATGTGCATAATCAATGTACAGTGTACATAAACACTTTCGAGCAACGTCAGTGCATACAGTTCACATACAGTCTCCTTCCAATATGGTACTTTCAATTGACCATACTCGTAATATAGGTACTTCATAATAAAACCCTGGTAATAACTTTAAAACAAAAAGAGCCAACGGCTCGAATAATTGTATTATCGTGTTTAAATGTGTTAGTTTATAGTATTTTGCGTCGATTAACGTCAACCATTAGTACATATTGTTAAAGGCATTGCGGCGTACACGGCAGTTGTAACTCCCATCAGTATTTACACAAGGCGTGTTTGTAAACTCATATTACTGTATTGATGTGGTAATACTCACCTGTAGTTTGTGTATTTTGGGATAAAGCGATATCTGTATCATTTAACTACAGTTGAATCAACTGAAGGTGATAAGAACTAAGCTAACGGATGACAGATCGTGATGGGATGCATGACAGGGTCTATCACTAGCTACAATACCAGCCGAGAGGCAGCGCAACGGCATGTCAGAAAGATCAACATAACATGGCATAGAGATCAAAAACTGCCGCATACTCCACAACGCTATGCAATTTTCAAAAATAACAGTCAGAGTAGAAAGAAACACAACCTGATAGACAAAGAAAAAAGATGGAAGGTCACAACCGAAAATAGAAAGTAAAACGAAGTAGAAAAATCAAACAAAACATTAGAATAATTTTTATTATTTTTAAAGCATGTAACTGCTTGATGTTTAAATCTAAAGAAAATATAACTAGAAAAAATTCCACGCCATTCCAATTTGTGGGTTTACCTATAATGCGAAGAGATGGCGCTGCCTTGCAGCTTAAGAATAGCTAGAAAGAATTTCGACGCGGTCCGTGAGGGCCGCGGTAGCATAATTGGTCAGTGCATTCGCCCGGATTGCGAAGGGTGCGGGTTCGAGTCCCGTCTGCTGCCTGGTCCGCGTGGAATTTTTTCTAGTTATATTTTCTTTAGATTAAAACATTAGAAGTTTTATTAAGTATTAGTTTATGTTCGCCATTTTAATCACACTTACCAATGACAGCCATATATTGGTTATAAGTAGCTGATTCTTCTCGTCCTATTGGGTTAGACGATGTCAACAAAAACAGAAAGAAAGGGCGCAGTCAGTATTTGTCTAACACGTGATGGATAGCTGGACACACATGACGGGGCGGAGCGGCGCGGCGCTGCATGCGCGGAGCGGCGCGCCGCCCTCACTATGTATGCGATGTACGACAAGTTAACACCGACTCTCCATGCGACAGATCTGCCGCGGCGGCATGACGCGCACGACACACCGCGCCCGCCTCCGTGCCAGTGCCATTACCGACACGCCGCGCACGCAGCGAAACACCTTGCACTTCCCGAACGAAAACAAGCGCGCTATTACGTTACCAGCGAATACAACATATGAACCGGGAACTGCAAGCCGTTCGCTGAATGCCCGACGCGTGGAAGTGCATCAACTGTGCTCGGTGTTGCATTTAGGGTCTCGGCCGTGCCAGCCGAGGCCCGAGCGCGGGGGCGGGGCGGCGAAGGCGCCATGCCCGGCTCCTACCACTTACCAAATTGAGCCAGACGTTTGTGGTCAGGATTTGATTTTTCTCATCCTTATTTCGATAAATGAACGCGCGGCAACGCAAGAAAGGAACGAAAAAACATAATGAACATCAGATCGTGAAGTGACACTCGAGCTTCATCCAAACACTCTGAGCCCGCGAAAGCCTTTCTACTGCCAGACAGATTTAGCTCTTTGGCTTTGCGGGGATCGAACCCGATTTGATTAAATCTTAAAAGTTTTGTAGACCTTAAGAAAATCGCTAGAAAGGTTGTTAACATTTTAATTTTGTTATTGTGTGCAGTGTAGCCCATGAAGCCACAAAATGATTTTAATCGCTTGCCTGGATAATTTCACTGGCGAAGTAATAATCCGTTTAATAGCGAAATGTCGTTAAGGGAAAGCAATTAAACAGATATTTGAGCGAACAGCAGAGCTTTTGCGATGACTAATGTATTTTATGATTGTTGGGAAGTTGTTCCATTCTGTAATTTATGCATGGCAAAACAATTCCGATGTCATTGTTCAGGCATGCGGCGATGGCGAATAATTTTGACATTTACGTATCTTCAAATTTTAGTATATGAAATGGCTATATCTAAACTAACAAGATTTTATTTTAATACCATTCTTCAAATTATAAACTTTTGGTTTTATTTTTTCACTGCCTGAATTTATTTATTTGTTTCATTTATATGAAGATGTATTTGTAATCACTTTTATATCGCCGCTAGTCGTCTTTAGGACGAAATGACTAAAAATAAAGAAAGTTAATTTAGATAATCAGAGTGAACACCGCTTCACTTTCAGCCATAATTGCCTAATAGAAATTACATTAAAAAAATTAAGCTGCAAAATCATTATCAATAACTGCAATTTCAGCAAATCTTCACATTGTCCGATCGTTTGAATTTAGCAGTCGGACCAAATGTTCTCAGCGGATATTTTTAGTCTTCTTATAGAATACAACTAACTAACAACAAAAGATGATTATACTTACTCTGGAACTATAGCAATGTGATTGAAATTTTAGGAATACTTGTACAGAAAATTGCATCCCGTATTAACCAATTATAATTGTAGCTCGAAATAACAAAGCTTTATTAACACAGTTATTCCACGACTGTGTATTAATGACGAGCGACGTTGCGTATTCGTATCAAATAAATGGCTTGTATTCGTAAAGTTTATTAAGAACAAATGGTTCACAGCAGGACCGGAAATAATTTAAATTTTAATGTGTGGCATACCGCCAATGTGTATTAAGTAAGAAAGTATATTTATTTGTAAAACATGAGTAAAATACAGATCTTAATATAACATAATGGCACATCATGTTCTGCCTTAATAGGCGTACAAGTTATTTCAAAATTATTTTGAAGTCAAAACTTAAGCAATTAAACATCAGTTATTCTGTACTATGCTTGTATCAATCTCATAAACGCTCCTTTACAACCATTTCATATAATTTCAGAAATTTATTATAAACTAGTGGCCCGCCCTCGCTTCGCTTCGGTGTAGAGCTGTAGTGTAAACTATAGTTTTTATTCTCAGGCTTCTGCTATAAACAATGACTTTATTTATATAATTACACGTGTTATTGTGAGTCAACCATAAAAGATAGACATATGCTGTTGCGGGATATTTTTTAGACAATTTTATGTAGAATAAGATAAGATAAGATAATAATACTTTATTGCACAACAGTAACATAAATAACATGAAAAATACAAATACAAGGCAAAACAATTACAGTTGCACAAAGGGCGGTCTTATCGCTAATCAGCGATTTCTTCCAGACAACCCAATGAGCTGGAAAAAGTAGAAAGCACGATAATAATAATGAGGGAGGTTGTGCGGAAAACAAGACAAAAGTTTTGTAAGTAGTCAATTGAAAATAATCAAAATAAACGCAAACTAAACATATAGGCATACACAGACATTCACACATATCGCAATATAATGCAACAGCACTACTACCGTAGCAATATTTTAATGAAAATTATGCTCATCTGACAAGAAATGCTCCTTAACTAGGGATTTGAAGCAGGGTAGAGTTTGGGCACGCCTAATCTTTTCCGGCAGAGAATTCCATAGTTGGATAGCACGTATGGTAAAGGAGTGGCTATACGCCTTGGAAAAGTTAGGAGGTGTGAAAAGCAGGAGATTGTCAGATGAGCGAAGCGGAAGATTATGAGAAGAAGAAAGAAACTGAAAACGTTCTTTGAGATAGACAGGAGCTTTTGGATTGAACAGTATTGAGAAGAGTAGGGATAATATATGCAGATCACGGCGACGACGAATGGGAAGCCATTTCAATTTCTGCCTGTAATAAGAAACATGGTCGTACTTACGTAGACCGTAAATGAATCTGATGGAAAAATTTTGCAGACGTTCAAGTTTACTTAGAAGATCATAGGTAAGATAGGGATAACAAACATCTGCATAATCGAGAATAGGTAGAAGAAGAGAAGTTGCAAGAGAAATTTTGGTGGCAGTGGGCAAGAAATTGCGTAAACGTCGTAAAGATCCAGCCGCAGCAAAAGTTCGCCTACTGACCTCAGCAACCTGAGGACACCAAGATAGAGTGTTATCAAATATGACCCCCAAATTCCGAACTGTTTCAGAAAATGGGATAACAGTTCCATTTAAAGTAACTGATGGGAGCTGCTTAAAGTCAATCCGAGATATAAAGTAAGGGCTACCAATAGTTATGCACTGCGTTTTTGTTGGATTGATTTTGAGCCCAAATGCATTGCTCCATTCCGTTAAAAGTGCTAAGTCTGCATTTAGGTTATTAATTGCATTATTTAAGTTTTCCAGTCGATCCTGTGTGTAAATCTGAAGATCGTCTGCATACAGATGGCAGGTAGAAGTTAACTTGAGGGTAATTGAGTTAATAAAAATAGCGAAAAGCAAAGGAGATAGCACGCCACCTTGAGGAACACCGGCCGTTAGAGTACACCATTGAGAGAAGGATTCACCCACAATTACACGCTGCCGGCGTCCATGTAGATAACTACGAAACCAGTCAATGACCGTAGGAGATATGTTAAGAGAACGCAGAATATTTCCGTCGTACATGATTTCTATGTAACTTTAACCATTAAAGCTGCACACGCGACGGAAGCTTAAAAATGGAGTAACTTCTCCCGTTTTTCCAATATTTCCCTTCACTACTCTGCTCCTATTGATTGTAGCGTGATGAAAAGTATACTATAACCTGCCCAGGAGTATGAAGAATAATTGTACCAAGTTTCGTTAAAATCCGTCGAGTAGTTTTTGTTTCTATAAGGAACATACACACAGACAGACAGAAAGACAAAAATTTTACTGATTGCATTTTTGGCATCAGTATCGATCATTAATCACCCCCTGATAGTTATTTTGAAAATATATTTCATGTAAAGAATTGACCTCTCTACAGATTTATTATAAGTATAGATGATTTAATTTGTAATAAATATGACAGTTAGCACTGCATAATATAAAAGTTAACAAATGAAACAAAATACGTACAGGTTACAGTGTTTTCTAAATTCAGTATATACTTTATTCATTTTGTGTTTTGGTTGTTTATTGCAAAATAATGTATTAAAAATAATTTGTACACGACAGAACTTGCGGAAATGAAATTGATGTAAATGACTTTTATAATAATCTATGAATTTACAATAATAATAATACAACAATTAATATTCCTTATGAGGTCCGTAGATAAAACTAAAATAAAACAAAAATCTTTGGTATTCGGTGTAGATATAATCTATAGTATTGCTACCTTTTCTAATCAGTTATTAATATAGGTATATTAACTACTTAGGTAAGTAGTTTATATTATCTATTTGTATTTATTTTCACCTACATAGCGAACGAGCTTGCGCATTTTAGTCATCCCCTCACTCCAAGAAGTATCTTGCCTTTCTTTCAACAAATATTATTTTTCTTGTTCAACAAACGTTGAATGTATGATTACCTATACACATATAACACAAACTCTTTTATAATTTTATACGTTTAGATGATATGCGAGATGGCGCTGCCTTGCAGCTTAAGAATGGCTAGAAGAATTTCGACGCGGTCCGTGAGGGCCGCGGTAGCATAATTGGTCAGTGCATTCGCCCGGATTGCGAAGGGTGCGGGTTCGAGTTCCGTCTGCTTCCTGGTCCTCGTGGATTTTTTTCTAGTTATATTTTCTTTAAAGATAGATTTGTTGAAAGGAAGACAATTCTTTCAAAAAATCTCTCTTTTCTTGTTTAACAAACGTTAAATGAATGACGATTATATAAAACTCAACTCTATTATAAATTAATCCTTTTGCAAGAAGCTCCCGTGCAAACACCGTCACGACTGCACCACGCGCTCCATTTGTACCTGTCTGTGCAGCTGACATTCGCAATCTAAATGGCATGTTTTCTTTCTACACCTGCCTAGATGTTTATAACTCAGGTTTTTACCTGTGTCAATGTTGCAGATGAAAAATAAGTTGATGCTATTTGATATTCTGTGACATTTTCTGA